AAAGAGGTCTCATGTTGGGTTTAAGGGCAGTAAAGAGGACTCCTGTTGGGTTTAGGGGATGTAAAGAGGACTCATGTTGGGTTTAAGGAAAGTAAAGAGGTCTCATGTTGGGTTTAAGGGATGTAAAGAGGTCTCATGTTGGGTTTAAGGGAAGTAAAGAGGTCTCATGTTGGGTTTAAGGGAAGTAAAGACAACTCATGTTGGGTTTAAGGGCAGTAAAGAGGTCTCATGTTGGGTTTAAGGGCAGTAAAGAGGTCTCATGTTGGGTTTTAAGGGCAAGTAAAGAGGGCTCATGTTGGGTTTAAGGGCAGTAAAGAGGTCTCATGTTGGGTTTAAGGGCAGTAAAGAGGTCTCATGTTGGGTTTAAGGGCAGTAAAGAGGGCTCATGTTGGGTTTAAGGGCAGTAAAGAGGTCTCATGTTGGGTTTAAGGGCAGTAAAGGTCATGTTGGTTTAAGGGTAAAGAGTCTCATGTTGGGTTTAAGGGCAGTAAAGAGGGCTCATGTTGGGTTTAAGGGCAGTAAAGAGGTCTCATGTTGGGTTTAAGGGCAGTAAAGAGGTCTCATGTTGGGTTTAAGGGAAGTAAAGAGGTCTCATGTTGGGTTTAAGGGCAGTAAAGAGGGCTCATGTTGGGTTTAAGGGCAGTAAAGAGGTCTCATGTTGGGTTTAAGGGCAGTAAAGAGGTCTCATGTTGGGTTTAAGGGCAGTAAAGAGGTCTCATGTTGGGTTTAAGGGCAGTAAAGAGGGCTCATGTTGGGTTTAAGGGCAGTAAAGAGGTCTCTATGTTGGGTTTAAGGGCAGTAAAGAGGGTCTCATGTTGGGTTTAAGGCAGTAAAGAGGTCTCATGTTGGGTTTAAGGGCAAGTAAGGGGGCTCATGTTGGGTTTTTAAAGGGGAGTAAAGAGGGCTCATGTTGGGTTTAAGGGCAGTAAAGAGGTCTCATGTTGGGTTTAAGGGCAGTAAAGAGGTCTCATTTTGGGTTTAAGGGCAGTAAAGAGGTCTCATGTTGGGTTTTAAGGGCAGTAAAGAGGTCTCATGTTGGGTTTAAGGGCAGTAAAGAGGTCTCATGTTGGGTTTAAGGGCAGTAAGAGGGCTCATGTGGGTTTAAGGCAGTAAAAAGAGGTCTCATGTTGGGTTTAATTGCAGTAAATAGTCTTATGTTGGGATTTAAGGGCAGTAAAAGAGAATCATGTTGGTTTAGGCAGTATAAGGGTCTCATGTTGGGTTTAAGGGAGTAAGAGTTCATGTTGGTTAAGGCAGTAAGAGGTCTATGTTGGTTAAGGCATAAGAGGGGTTCATGTTTTGGGTTAAGGCATAAAATTGTGCAGAACAATAAAACACAATATTTTTATTTTTATTAATATAACTGATATAATATAACCACATACAAATAATAATTATTATAAGTTTTAACTTTTATATAGATACATTGAGATGCAGGTTAAGTTAGGTTAAGTTAGGATTAGATTAAGTTGAGTTAGGTTAAGTTAGGTTAATATGAGCTAGGTTAAGCTAAGACTTGTTATGTTAAGTTAAGCCAAGTTAGGTTTAGTTAGGATAGGTAAAGTTAGATTTGGTTGTTAAGTTAGGCTATAAATTAAGCCATTTTATGTTAGTAAATTTTAGCTGAATTAGCTTAAGTTAGGCTAAGTTAGGTAAAATTAGGTTAAGTTAGGCTTAGTTAGGTTAAATTAGGTTAAGTTAATGTTGTCACAGTTATGGTGGCTCAGGTTGGTTGCTACTCCCTCCCTCCATCCCATAAATACCCTGGTCATGCCCCCATCCAGGTCGTTAATGGTTTTATAATGGTCTGTTATGTCATTTAATGGTCGTACAGTCGCCTGTCATGTCGTTTAATGTCGTACAATGGCTGTCATGTCGTTAGTGGTCGTACAGTGGCTGTCATGTCGTTAAGTGGTCGTTCAGTGGCTGTCATGTCGTTTAATGATCGCACAGTGGTTTGTCCAGTGTCCTTTCATGTTAAGTGGTCATACATTGGCCTGTCATGTCCTTTAGTGGTTGTACAGTCGCCTGTCATGTCGTTTAATGTCGTACAATGGTTGTCATGTCGTTAAGAGGTCGTTCAGTGGCTGTCATGTCGTTAAGTGATCGTACAGTGGCTGTCATGTCGCTAAGTGGTCGTACAGTGGCCTGTCATGTCGTTTAGATGTGGTTCTTGGCCCTGGACCATTGTTTTGACAGTGATCTGAGACAGACCATTTCATTCCATTCTGGACCACTATCACAACGGTGGTCTGGATGCAGACCACCATTTCGGTCCATGGTGGACCATTATCATGGCTGTGTTCCAGGACCATTATCATGACTGTCCAGGACCATTATCATGGCTGTGGTCCAGGACCATTATCATGGCTGTGTTCCAGGACCATTATCATGACTGTGTCCAGGACCATTATCATGGCTGTGGTCCAGAACCATTATCATGGCTGTGGTCCAGGACCATTATCATGGCTGTGGTCCAGGACCATTATCATGGCTGTGGTCCAGGACCATTATCATGGCTGTGGTCTAAGATCATCATAACTTTCTGTGAATTGATTGGGTCTTGTTATTGCGACTCTCCTGGTACTTGGACCAAGAGCCTTTGCTGGAGATAGTGTGGGGGGAGTGGTCGGGGGTTGGGGGGTTGAGGTGGGGGTTGGCAAGGTGTTTATAAAGCAATAAATAACACTGTGGCGGGACTTTTGAGGCACCAACCCGTGACAACAGCAACTGGGTTACTGTTAGGTGCGCTTGTGTGCGTCGGGACGCATCGCGCACCAAGACGGAACGACGAACAACGGTTACGAAGACGCGAGTCGTGGAACGACCTTCCAGAGCAACGACTGGACGATGACGACGATGTGACTGGCTGGCTGGTTAGACTGGCTGCTTGATGACTGGCTGGTTAGACTGGCTAGTTGATGACTTCTTCCTCCAGGAGTTTAGCGCCACTTGTCGTCTCTCTCTCTACGGGGTCCAGTCCTTGGACCCATTATGTACCTTTGTAATCTTTTGACTACCCACAGGATGGGTATGGGGTGCATAATAAAGATATTAAACTAAACTAACTCTTTACGTACAGGTTTAGCGAATCATTTTCACTATTTCCTCTTGTTTTACTCGTGTTCTTATTATATACAACACCATTAGTGGGTACATAGTGGTGACAAAGGTGCCGGAATTGTGTATGTTTCACACTTGTCAACTTTGGTTAACATGACTGTTCTTAAGGTCACAATTAAGACGAGGGTAATTTGCATTGATGCCCCTTGGGAGGTAAGGTGGAAGTAGGTATACCTTGTATATGCGGTGGGGTATACTTGTATACCTACGGTGATGTATAACTTGTATGGGTTAGTGGAGGTCTGTATGTTTGTTGGTGTAAAGATAGTTCCATGACGTCTGTCTGTTCGTTGGAGGCGAGGTGCCCGATGGGGCACTCCTTGTCTTACTCTAAACAATGCCCCTACCTGCTTGGTGGGTAGGTCATGCCCTGGGTGAGCACAAATTAGCACCCACACTGCCCAGCTGGTACCCAGTGCCAGTGCCACCTGCTGGCCCTGGTGGTGTGAGATCCCCCTCCCTCCCTGTTGTACCCTGTGAGAATGGGTAGGCATACCAGGGGTCCAGTACTACCCCATGGCATAGCTGTAGAGAGTGCCACTGGTGGTACAGAGGAGACTTGATGGGGCACTATGGCACTGAGCACATCACTGTGCAGTGTAGAGGCAGTGAGCAGTGCACAGGAATGGGGCCATTAGGCTCACGAAACCGAACTGACCGAAACCGAGGCCGTGACTCTGGTCTCACTTACGTCCATGTCGGTCTCAATGTGTCCTTCAGCGTCAGTCTTGTGGCCGTGGGTATCCGTCCGTTCTTCAGCAGTCTTGCGGCCGTGGGTATCCGTCCGTTCTTCAGCAGTCTTGCGGCCGTGGGCATCCGTCCGTTCTTCAGTGGTCTTGGGATTGCGGGGATCGACAGTGAGCGAAACGTCAGAAAAAGCCGGGTAGCCGATGGTGGGCTCCCAGTCACTCTCTTTAAGGACTTCACTAGTGTCACCGCTGTCTTCCTTCCTGACGGCGACGTAGCTGGAGGTGCTGGAAGCTGGCACTGCCACCTCTGAGGTCTTCAACGACTCTGAGTGAGCTGGCACTACACTCACGACACTGCCAGAGTGGGAAGTGCCAGCAGTGTACAGGTCACTGTTGTCCTTAATGATGTCTTCACCCTTTGGTGCACCATACGCTGATGGAGAACTGGGCTGAGAACCACTGTGTGACGACTGAGAACTGGGTGGAGCACCGTACAGTGCTTGGGGAGCAGGAAGTGGACCATAGGTACTTGGAGAAACTACTGGTGCCTTGCTAGGTTGCTGGTACACATGTACCGGAGGTCGAACTCCCTGGTATATGATGATCGGAGGCTTGTGGAATGCCTTTGGAGCCGGGAGGTACGTCGGTTCCTCTGGAGCCTTGGGTGGAGGTGCGTATGTCTGTTTGACCTTCACAGGGGTGCCATAGATGGGTCTTGGTACTTTGGGACCGTAGCTTGGTCGAGCCTTTGTAGGTGCCTTTGATGGAGGTCCGTAGGATGGTGGAGGTGCCTTTGGAGGTCCATAGGATGGAGGAGGAGCCTTTGGCTTTCCATAGGATGGTGCAGGAGCCTTTGGAGGTCCATAGGATGGAGGAGGTGCCTTTGGAGGTCCATAAGATGGTGCAGGAGCCTTTGGAGGTCCATAGGATGGAGGTGTCTTTGGTGGACCATAGGATGGTGCAGGAGCCTTTGGAGGCCCATAGGATGAAGGAGGTGCCTTTGGAGGTCCATAGGATGGAGGAGCTGCCTTTGGAGGTCCATAGGATGGTGCAGGAGCCTTTGGAGGTCCATAGGATGGAGGAGCTGCCTTTGGAGGTCCATAGGATGGAGGTGGAACCTTTGGTGGAGGAGGAGGAGCGACCGGTGGAGACCCGAGACCATAAATTGGTCTTGGGATCTTAATGGAAGACTTTGGAGGGGTCTTGGCTGGACCATAAGACCTGGGTGGCAGGTCATAGCTGGCTTGTGGGACAGCAGGGGCGGCATACTGGCCCTGGGTGGCATAATGGCCCTGGCTCTGGGCGGCAGCAGTGACCTGATAGACAGGTGGCTGCTGATAGACATGAATGGGTGGGTGGCCGGCGTAGATGATGTGCGGGGCAGGGGTCCCCCTGGTAGGGGCAGCCACTGGAGGACCATAAGTGGGCGGTGGAGGGATGTAAGTGGGTGGTGAAGGGCCATAGTTCTTGGACTTGGTGGGCGTGAGGCCATAATTTGGTACACTGGCCTTGGGTGGGCCATGATCTTCCTTTGGAGAATTGGGTGGAGGGCTGTAGCTCTTAGTGGCCTTGGATGGTGGGGTATAGGAGGGCTTGGGGGCATTAGAGAGGGCATATTGGGGCTGGGGGGCTGAGATGATCACGGGGCTAGGGGCTGGGGGAGCATTAATATATATGGGACCACTGTGAGCTGGGGGACCATACTGGGAACTGTCGATCTTAGGAGGAGCTTTTGGTGGACCATAGTTGGGACTGGCAGGTTTTGGTGGACCATAGTTGGGACTGGAAGGTTTTGGTGGACCATAGTTTGGACTGGAAGGTTTTGGTGAACCATAGTTGGGACTGGAGGCTTTTGGTGGACCATAGTTTGGACCGGAAGGTTTTGGTGGACCATGGCTGGAACTAGAAGGTTTTGGTGGACCATAGGTAGGACTAGAGGCTTTTGGTGGACCATAGGTAGGACTGGAGGCTTTTGGTGGACCATAGCTTGGACCAGAGACTTTCGGAGCACCATAGCTGGTGCTGGAGGCTTTTGGTGGACCATAGCCTGCACCAGGGTCCTTGGGTGGCCCATAGCTATGACTGGAAGCTTTTGGTGGACCATAGCCTGGACCAGGGTCCTTGGGCAGCCCATAGCTTTGACTGGAGGCTTTTGGTGGACCGTATCCTGGACCGGGAACCTTGGGTGGCCCATAGCCTGGACTAGAAGTCTTAGGTGGAGCATAGGAAAGCTTGGGTGGCGGCCCATAGGCAGGTTTGGGCGGGTGCAGAGGGGCGTGAGTGGGCGGAGCGGGCGTATGGACCACATGGACCGGAGGAGAGTTATCTGACTGGTAGATAAGGACCGGTAGTTCGTGATGGGGTAGGGGCACGTACTTCACTGACTGGGCCTTCACTGTACCCTTGCTGCCATACCCACCAACCTGAAACAAAGTCACTGTCAGTCTATCATTCATTGCAATAACGTTAATCAGTCACTACAACAGTCATTCTACACTGTATAAGATCCCTCAGTCACCTCAACACAGTCTCCCTTCAGCTACTTCAACACAGTCAGTCTCCACAACAGTCGCAAAACATATATAAGTTACAATGAAAATTTACACTAGTTAGGGCTGATACCTTCTCCGTTTTTTCTAATAACTTCCAAGATGGCGTCGTAGACTTACACTGTTTTGGTTAGGTAAATTTTGATTTATTTTGCAAATTAGGCCAATTTTTCTGTATATCACATTATCATTTCATTATCGGGGAAGCTCTAAACACGTATGTTCTTTGGATATTACACTGAAGTGACTAGGATGGTGTTTGAATTAGGGGCTCAAAGTTAGTAGTGTAAGCCTATGCAGTGTCTTATAATAGGCAATATCTTTGTGTAAAGCATAAGCCTAAGGCTTGGCTTTTTATGTTTTTTGAATGGTCAACCAGTCTGTTAGTGACAAGCACTCACAGACTTACAATATCAATGACATCTGTTGTTCCAGTTCTGATATCTCTCCATTGTCTGTCGTGATGCTTGTTATTTAGGATAATTAACGTAGACCTAGGGAGGCCTGGGAATATAGACCTAGGGAGTATACGACTTACTGAAGACCTAGGAGGCCTGAGGCTGGAGACCTAGGAATAAGATTGTAGACCTAGGAGGTTTGGAACTGGAGGCCTAGAAGATGTGACTTACCATAGGCCTAGAAAGCCTGCCACCAGAGACTTAGAAGACCAGGAACTGGAGGCCTAGAAGATATGACTTACCATAGGCCTAGAGAGCCTGCCACTAGAGACTTAGAAGACCTGGAACTGAAGGCCTATGGAGTATAAGACTATAGTAGGTTTTGAATTGGATGTCTAAAGGGTGTAATACTTATTATAGGCCTAGGAAACATAGAGGACATGATACTGTAGGCCTAGAGGATGGGATATTTTAGGCCTAGAGGGTGTGATACTGTAGACCTAGGTTTAATACTGTAGACCTAAGTTTAATACTGTAGACCTAGGTTTAATACTGTAGGCCTAGGTTTAATACTGTAGGCCTATAAGGTTTAATATGTAGGCCTAGAATATATAATATTGTTAGGTAAGACACATATGCAACAGTTAGGTATCTTTATTATGAAACGTTTCGCCTACACAGTAGTCTTCTTCAGTCTTGACTGAAGAAGCCTACTGTGTAGGCGAAACGTTTCATAATAAAGATACCTAACTGTTGCATATGTGTCTTACCTAACAACCTGTCGGTATTTTATACCATTTTAATGTTCAATATATAATATTGTAGAGCTAGAGTGTGATATTGTAGGCCAGGGACTGGAAGCATAGAGGACATAATATTAATGTAGGCCTAGAAAACGTAATACTGTAGGCCTGGTGCTGCAGGCCTAGAGGACATAATACTGTAGGCCTGGTACTGGAGGCCTAGAAGTTGTAATATGTACTGTAGACCTAGAGTGTAATACTTACTGTAGGCCTAGGAGGCCTGGGAAAGTGGATGATGGGAGGCTTCTCATCAGAGTAGACAATAGGCCCAGCATACTCCACAGTAGGCCTATACGACCTCTGCTGTGCCTCCACCTGGGCACCAGAATATTGAGGTGGGAGCGGATAGTGTGACCAACCCACACTACTTACCCACGCCCACACCACCCATGATAACACCTGCAATAATAATAATAATAATAATAATAATAATAATAATAATAATAATAATAATAATAATAATAATAATAATAATAATAATGTGCTGGTGTACATGACTTGGAGTGTATGTGTAAATGGGTAGATATGCGCACCTAGTTGAGGTTGTGGGGGTCGAGTCCAAGCTCCTGGCCCCGCCTCTTCACTGGTCGCTACTAGGTCACTCTCCCTGAACCATGAGCTTTATCATACCTCTGCTTAAAGCTATGTATGGATCCTGCCTCCACTACATCTCTTCCCAAACTATTCCACTTAATGACTACTCTGTGGCTGAAGAAATACTTCCTAACATCCCTGTGATTCATCTGTGTCTTCAACTTCCAACTGTGTCCCCTTGTTGCTGTGTCCAATCTCTGGAACATCCTGTCTTTGTCCACCTGGTCTTCGATCGAGTGAATTCTTCTCATCAACTTCATGTCATCTGCAAACAGGGACACCTCGGAGTCTATTCCTTCCGTCATGTCGTTCACAAATACCAGAAACAGCACTGGTCCTAGGACTGACCCCTGTGGGACCCCGCTGGTCACAGGTGCCCACTCTGACACCTCGCCATGTACCATGACTCGCTGCTGTCTTCCTGACAAGTATTCCCTGATCATTGTAGTGCCTTCCCTGTTATCCCTGCTTGGTCCTCCAGTTTTTGGACCAATCTCTTGTGTGGAACTGTGTCAAACGCCTTCTTGCAGTCCAAGAAAATGCAATCCACCCACCCCTCTCTCTCTTGTCTTACTTCTGTCACCATGTCATAGAACTCCAGTAGGTTTGTGACACAGGATTTCCCGTCCCTGAAACCATGTTGGGTGCTGTTGATGAGATCGTTCCTCTCTAGGTGTTCCACCACTCTTCTCCTGACAATCTTCTCCATGACTTTGCATACTATACATGTCAGTGACACTGGTCTGTAGTTTAATGCTTCATGTCTGTCTCCTTTTGTAAAGATTGGGACTACATTTGCTGTCTTCCATGCCTCAGGCAATCTCCCTGTTTCGATAGATGTATTGAATATTGTTGTTAGGGGTACACATAGCGCCTCTGCTCCCTCTCTCAATACCCATGGGGAGATGTTATCCGGCCCCATTGCCTTTGAGGTATCTAGCTCACTCAGAAGCCTCTTCACTTCTTCCTCGGTTGTGTGCACTGTGTCCAGCACTTGGTGGTGTGCCCCACCTCTCTGTCTTTCTGGAGCCCCTTCTGTCTCCTCTGTGAACACTTCTTTGAATCTCTTGTTGAGTTCCTCACATACTTCACGGTCATTTCTTGTTGTCTCTCCTCCTTCCTTCCTTAGCCTGATTACCTGGTCCTTGACTGTTGTTTTCCTCCTGATGTGGCTGTACAACAGTTTCGGGTCAGATTTGGCTTTCGCTGCTATGTCGTTTTCACATTGTCGTTGGGCCTCCCTTCTTATCTGTGCATATTCATTTCTGGCTCTAAGACTGCTCTCCTTATTCTCCTGGGTCCTCTGCCTTCTATATTTCTTCCATTCCCTAGCACACTTGGTTTTTGCCTCCCTGCACCTTTGAGTGAACCATGGGCTCATCCTGGCTTTTTCATTATTCCTGTTACCCTTGGGTACAAACCTCTCCTCAACCTCCTTGCACATTGTTGCTACATATTCCATCATCTCATTAACTGGTTTCCCTGCCAGTTCTCTGTCCCACTGAACCCCGTTCAGGAAGTTCCTCATTCCCGTGTAGTCCCCTTTCTTGTAGTTTGGCTTCATCGTCCTGGCCTTCCTGCTTTCCCCTCCACTTGTAGCTCTACTGTGTACTCGAAGCTTAAAACCACATGTGTGTGTGTGTGTGTACTCACCTAATTGTACTTACCTAATTGTGGTTGCAGGGGTCGAGACTCAGCTCCTGGCCCCGCCTCTTCACTGATCGCTACTGGATCCTCTCTCTCTCTGCTTCCTGAGCTTTGTCATACCTCTTCTTAAAACTATGTATGGTTCCTGCCTCCACTACCTCACTTGCTAGGCTTGCTGACAACTCTATGACTGAAGAAATACTTCCTAACGTCCCTGTGACTCGTCTGAGTCTTCAGCTTCCAGTTGTGACCCCTTGTCCCTGTGTCCCCTCTCTGGAACATCCTATCTCTGTCCACCTTGTCTATTCCCCGCAGTATCTTGTATGTCGTTATCATGTCTCCCCTGACCCTTCTGTCCTCCAGTGTCGTCAGTCCGATTTCCCTTAACCTTTCCTCGTACGACATTCCCTTGAGCTCTGGGACTAGCCTTGTTGCAAACCTTTGTATTTCTCTAACTTCCCTTGACTCCCTACCAGGGTGGGGACCAACGGTGCTGCAACCCGGGGGGCCTAACATACACAGTTACATGTCTTGAACGTTTCCCTATTAAGGTACGAACGCTATTCTCGGGGGGGTTTGGGCCGGGCGCCCGTAGCTGCGCGGTTATTTTTTGATGTGTGCCCCGGTGATTCTGGGTGTTATGGCCACCCCAAGGTCTTTTCCCCATGGGTTTGAGTCTTTGTCCACCTACCTTTAAACTCTGTCTGCAGTCTTCTTTCCCTCCCCAATCTTCATGACTTTGCATTTGGCGGTTTTGAATTCAAAAAGCCATTTTGCTGGCCCAGTCCGCCTCTCCAGGTCTCTTTGAGCCCCCCGCCTCATCCTATCCGTTTTAAATTCTTCTCATCAATTTCCATCATCTGCAAATAGGGACATTTCGATCATTCCTTCCATCTTAGTTCGCATATATCAAAATACCGGCCCTAAAACTGACCCCTGTGGGCCCCCGCTCTCACAGGGAACCTCTTCAGTACATGACCTTTTGTTGCCTCCCGCATATTTCCCTGATCCATTGCAGTGCCCTCCCTGTTATTGCCCTGTCCTCCACCCTTCTGCACAAATCTCTTGGGGGGAACTGTTCAAAGGCCTTCCTGCAGCCCTAGGAAAATGCAATCCCCACCCCTCTCTCGTGTCTTATTTCTGTCCTTTCATAAAACTCCAGGGGGTTTTGTGAACGGGATTTCCCTTTCCATAAACCCCATCGGGTTTTTTTTATAATCTTTTTCCGTTCCAGGTGTTCCACCACTCCCTCCTGATAATTTTCTCCATGACTTTGCACAAAATACATCAGAACACAGGTCTTTTTTTTTAGTCCCTCTTTCTGTTTCCTTTTCTTAAATAGGGGGGACTACTTTTGCTGTCTTCCATTTCTCAGAGTTTCCCATTTTCAAGAGATGTTTTGAAGATTGGGGTTTTGGGGCATCACAGCATCTCGCCCTTCTCAAGGCCCCAAAGGGAGATGTTGTCCGGCCCCATCGCCTTTGAGGTATAAAGGGTCACTTAGCAGTTCTGCACTCGCCTCGTTGTTCGTATGCATCCAACACTTTTTGGTATATTCCCCTTGATGTTCCCTTCTGTGCGTCTTCCCAAAGCCCTTCCTGTTTTACGTAAAACTTCCTTAAATCCCTGACCTCCTCACAACCCCGATCTTCTTGTGAGTTCCCCCCTTCTGTCCTAAATCAAACCCGGGTTTTTTTGACGGTCTTCCTCCTAAGGCATAAAACATTTTGGGGTCAGTTTTGTTTTCGATGCTAGTTTTTTCAATTTCGCGGGGCCTCCCTCCTTACCTTGCATACCGTTTCCCGGGCCGCGGCCCCCTTTTTTTGTGTTCTCTCCCTTTTGACTTTTTCCATTCTCTATTCCTTTGTTTTTGCCCTTTACACCGCGGGTAAACCCGGGGCCGTTTTGGTCTTCCCATTTTTTTCCCTTGGGGAAAAACCTTTTCCCGCCCCTTGCATTTTGTTTTTACATCCCCATTTTCGTTTCGGGTTCCCCCGCCCCCCCCCCAAACCCCCAAAGTTCCCCCCCTAGTTTCCCCCTTTTTTACTCTTTTTCCCTTAACTCCTTTACCCCCCCGAACCAAAATTTCAAAAAAGCCAGGGACTCTTGGGCTCAATGGATCCCCAAGTTTAAAAGTCCAGGGTAAACCTCCAAAATTGTGTTTCATTTCCCCCCCCCTTTTTAGTTCCCTTTTTCCCTTTTTCGAACCCAGCCATTTTCCTCCATTTTTTACCCCCTTCCCCTTTTTCCCAGTCTCTCCCGGGGGCCCCCCCCCCCGCCCCGCCCCCCCCCCCCCCCCCCCCCTTTCCCCCCCCCCCGGCCCCCCCTTCCCCCAGCGTGGTAATCTCCTCAATCCCCTTGGCCCCCAAACAATGTTAATATTATCCTTTTTGCCTTTGCCCCCACTGAATTTTCCCATTGTTTTTTCCCCCCCCCCCCCCCCCCCCCCTTCTATCTTCCCTCATGATCTGGTATCCTGGTGGGAAGATTGCATCTGTTATTGTCTCTGTGAGTTTTGTTTCTGTAACTGCTATGATGTCTGGGGACTTCTCATTGATTCTTTCTTACCATTCCTCATGTTTATTCGTTAATCCATCTGCATTTGTGTACCAAACCTTCAACTTCTGTTCTAATACTGTAACTGTGGTGCGGGGGGTGGGAACAGAGGGATTGGTGTGTGATGGTTGGTTTGGATTGTTCAGTTGCCTTGGGGGTGTCGTGGTTGGAGTCCTTCTGCAGGTGTTTCTGGAGGGTGTGCTTGTCCTTCCACTTGTTCCTGGGTTATTCTGCTCTCCTTTTTTATTTCCTCCCATTCCTCCTTTCGTTTTTGCAGTCTCTGTTTCAGTATCATCCTTTCCTCCTGTGTTCTGTCTCGATCGAGGTACACACTCCGGAACTCCTGCTTGCCTCTCACCCGTGCTTTCTCCTGCAGGATCATGGTTCGGGTTGATTCTGAAGTGAAAATTACTTTGAGAGGCCGATTCCTTTTCTTTGTGAACCACCCGATTCTCCGAAAATTTGCCACCTGGGTCATGTCTCCTCGCCTGTCACCTTCATGATACCTTCAATCGCTGTGTGTGTATGTATGTGTGTGTGTGTGTGTGTGTGTGTGTGTGTGTGTGTGTGTGTGTGTGTGTGTGTGTGTGTGTGTGTGTGTG